TTTTTTTTAATTCCACGCGGACGGAGTCGCGGGCGAAAGCTAGTTGTGATATAAAGACGAATTTAACTTACACTCTTTAGCTAGGGAAAGGGAGGTTATAGTTTTTGTTTTGTGCATGTTATAATTGTTATGTAAGGTCCGTGACAGACATGTTGTGAGAAGTTACAAGCTACTTAACAAAAGAAAACCACACTCAATAGTTTATTAAAATCTAAATGATAATCAATTTAAATTTTCACTAAGAAATCAATTATGTATGTTCGTTTTCGTAGACATTGTAATGTATAGACTACTATTACTGATTTACATTCGTATTTTATTCAAATTGAACGCAATTACAAGTGTCAATAAATGATTAATTAAATTGTATTTGATCAAATTGTATTAACTTAACGAGCATTTTGTATTAGTTTTAATTGAATTACTTTGTTCAATTAAACATGCTTTTGTGTCAGTAAATTAAATGCAGATATTTTACACTAATCCAAATATTTCTAAAAGAAGGAATGGTAAAAAAACTAAAACTATTTAATCAAAAAAGAAGAAAAATACTGTTTTTTCACATGAAGAGATATGATTCGAGGAAGGTTCACCTTTTCACGGATGTAGGCGGCAATAGTCGAAGCGTCAAGTAGAAATTTATCCCACCTTTAGAAGGCATATCGAGACGTAGTTACATAACTTAGGTACCTATATTACTTAACTGTGTAATATGAAAAATCTTAAATTCACCTACATTCATCTTCTTTAAAAATTCTTAACTCAAAAGATTTCTGCATTCACTCGACATCAATCTTATTTCTTACATGCGAAAACATTAATAAATGGATGTTTTGTTTTGTCTATTGCGAATCTCCAAAACGACTTAACGGATCTCGCTGATATTTGGCACAGATAAAACAGTCTGGAAGAATATATAATTCAGATTTTTTAATTACACGCGAACAGAGTCGCGAGCGATAGCTAGTAAGGAAAAATCTTAAAACTAAGATTATTTCAACGTGAAATAATTAAACTACAGTAGAAAAGAGTAAAAATTAAATGTAACTGTAATGTTCGCAATAAAACACTGATATCAAGTCCAAGGCCTATAATAGACTGACACAAAAATATCCTCTAGTGAGAGGTACTTTTACATATAACTTTTCTAGATACCTACATCTCAGTAACAGAACACATTTTAGGCTCTTTCAAATACGCAAGGAGGATAAAATCAAGTTAGTTTCAACATTTCTAAAATGATATTAATATTCGACGATCTACAACAGACCCGAGCAATTTACGAAATCCTTACCTATCCTCTCCATCCAAGGCAATATTCATAAAAATAATCGTTCGAAGATATTGCTAACGCCGAAATGGAAACTACATGATAATGTACCCTCCAAGAATACATAATTACTTATTAAAATAAATAGTTTCACTTAAAAATTACTAGTAGCCATTTATTTTTCAAGTCACTGGAATGTACGTTAGAATTTACAAGGCTTTTTTATAGTAATTGTGAATTCAAAGTGTACATTTTCTACCTGGGTGTTGAGTCTCAGGTGGATATTATAAGATGGAAGCAGTATAGAAGTTAAGCGACCATAAAGCTAAAAGGTTATAATCAAAGTGTTTCCACAAATGAAATACATGTAAAAAGCGAGTTGTTTTAAGATGCCAGTATTTGTATAATGTGGCAGTGGAAACCAACGCTACTTTAATATACACTACAGTTAACTAGATTTAAGTCTTAATTAAGAAATCGTTCCTAGAAAAACAATTACGTCGGCGTCATCTTTAATTAAAAGCGTTGGCGATGGAAATAAAATGGTCTAGTTAAAGACCGAGATTTAAATTTCAAACAGGTTAAATAATTTGCTTGTATTTCTAATAGATATATTTACTTCACGGTAAAGGGTATATTACATTTCAAGATAATTTGTTATTATATAGTTTATTGACGCAAGTATTATTCTTGTAAATTTGTTTGTAATTGTAAATATGTTTACACTAACAGTACGTGTTCAAAACAAGTCAATTTGTTTTTGAATTCTCGAATAACAAATTATTTTAAAAGCGAGAAATTTGAAATGAACTGTTTTGTACCTGTCATGTTTACCAGACATCCCTTTGTTTGTCTCTCTTTTGAACGAACGAATTGTTTGTGATCATCCGTTCTACAAAAGGGTAAATTATTGTTAATCTATGTTTGTTGTTATTCAATTATATTAATCATAATTTCAACAGAAAAAGCAAGCTTTAAATACATTAAAAGAATCATATTAAAGTTAGAAAACGGTAAAAGAATAGAAACAAAACTAGAACACTGCATAATAGAATTATTACATAAAGAGAATTCCACACGACCGTAGACATTTGAATGCGAACATTTTTTTTGTGCCATAATGAAATATCGCGACGCTTTACGTCAAAGAAAAGATTTCTCTCTCTTTTTATCGACATACCTATACAATGGGATTCCAACCATCCGTTCTCAATGAGGCTGTTAATTTAACCTCAATTATAAAATATTTAGGGCCTGTCCCACCACCTGACTGATAGAGGCACATATTTTACAAGTTGGATTGTTATCAGGCAATTTACAATTTGGTGGGACAGGCCCTAAATATCATTATTTTTCGCAAAATAATTGATTGACCACACTTTTAAATTACCATACAATCCTTCTAATTGTTTCGCTGATCTTAACCATCTACTTAAAGTGACTAAGCCTGAACAAATCTTACCAAAATAAACTAGAAAGTTTAGATGGATGGATGTTTGTACCTCCATCCAGAACGGCTCAACAGATCTCGCTAAAAATTGGAACAGATGTAAAACATAGCCGGAAAGAACACATAGGTCACTTTTCTTTATTTAATTTTCGCGCGGACGGAAACGAGGACAAAATCTAGTTAAGAATTAACTGAAAGCTTCACAAGAAAACGTCAATTCAAATCATTTCTTTTAATTAGACCGATATTTCATATGACACATACCCTTAATTTTTCTTCCATACGGCAAGCCATATACTTGTCCCCTGATAATACTTTCAATATTTCCTTTTGTAAATTGTCCTCAATAGTGTCGTTTGCCTGTAATAATTTCCAACACTGCAATCGGCTTTTGAATAATAAATTTTCTTTGTCTATCTTTTCTATAACTGCAAGTTTTACGGGTTTATTTCTCTCGTATATATTCATATTATCATCCTAATATTATAAATGCGAAAGTTTAGATGGAAGGATAGATGTTTGTTAGAGTTGTATACCACTAGCTTTCGCCCGCGACTCTGTCCGCCCGAAGAAAAAAAAAGAAATTTGAGTAATCTAAGTGTTCTTCTAGACTATCCTCTATATCCATACCAAATTTCATTGAAAACCGTTCAGTTGTTAAGGCTACAAGCTCTAAGGAACATCCATCCATCTAAACTTTCCCATTTACAATAACAATTAGTATGATTTAAGATTATGTAAATACATAAACGCAGAAGAGCGTTTGATATAATTAGATAGCACGAAGTGTTGAAATTCTAAAACTTCGAACCATATTCAATTTTATTACGAAGAAAAAAGGTGTTAATCTTTGTGGTACCAGTAAAAGCTTAAACGAATAAACAAAAATTAAATTTCCATTTGAAGAATAAAGGACCGCAAAATTTAAGAACGTAGACGTCTAACAGAAGCTGTAAACAGTGAAAGTATTTTCAAAGTAACGATAGTTTCACACGAGGGTAGGAACAATAATATGATAGTCCAGTACTAATACTGTTTGAACGTAAGTTTCTGACTGTACGTGTATCCAACTGCAGTACTGTAATGTCTACTGCTCTATCACAATGTTCTGTTTTAGTGTGAAACTAGCATAAAGGGGGAAAACGATGAAGTTTTAAGCGAGCTTGCGAGAGGTTTTAGAAATATTTTCCTTGCCTTAGATAAAGTTATTGTTTTAATTTACTTGGGAATGTTATTTATTATATTTTGGTCTTAAATTGTAAAACTTGATTGGGCTTTTATTAATGGATTTGTTAATTTGATTTGAACAAAGCTTTTTCATAAACTTTTTAGTAATTTTCATTCTTACAGCGTAATCCATTTGTTTATAGTCAAGTCAGATGAAAATCTGTAAGTATATTTTGTACTACGCGACTATATTTCGAGTTATAAACATCTTCAAATTAGAATTAGATAGTTTACAATAAACGTCAGTGGTCATTGGTATTATAATTATTTGCAAATTCACAATAAAACAACGTAATAAAAAAATACGATCATATAACGTCAGTATAATCGGTTTTCGATAAGCGCTGGCACATATTTTTTTGCGAACGGTACTTTGCATGGACATTTCCAGACGGATATTGGCAATTTGATTGCGTATGTTACATTTGATCGCTGTTTTAATTCACATCTCCGTATTACTTTATGTTCTAATAAATGTAACTGTGGGTGTTCGTTATCGACATAATAGACAACAGATATATCCTATCCCTTTCATTGTCATTGACAAAACGGAGACGATTATACTAATACATGTTGAACGACAGTAGAATTGAACTGTATTGTCGCCATTCACCATTCAGTGAACTATTGACCAAATATAACTAACGAGCTGTTCTACGCACTAATGACAGCAAAACCTAAGTAGGAGGAGCTTAAGTCTGATTGATCGCACAGAAATAATGTGCGAGTTGGATAACGGAATTGTATGAGAATCATTTTCTATAATGATTTGTCAAGTTAAGCGAATATAATTATGTGAGAAACGAGATAAGCTTACGCGTGATTTTTATTACAAATGTGAAAATTCCATATAATGTAATACTTTAACCACCTGTGCTGACTAATCTTTGTCTAAAGCCAGCGGTTAAAGTAAATTTAACATTAATTTTGTTACTTAAAATTTTCTTGTTAAATATTTTTTTGTTTCCTTTTTACCAATAAAGGTAACTTTATTATAGAGAATTTATAGACCATTCAAATACATATATGTGAAGTGAAACAATTTTAAAAGTGTACAAGAAATGATTTTAAAAGTGAAATTAAAAATTTAGACTGAACGATGTTGAACGGCACAACAGAACGTGCAATATCTCTCCAGTCGTCCCCAGTGAAAGTGTCCCCGTCCCCTGTAAGAGCCACATCTAGTCCCGTACGCACTCCATCATCACCTTTAAAATCCTCATTATCTGCATCGGGTAGGCAAAGGTCACCTCGGAAGTGCCAATTCTCGGCACCAGTAGAAGATGCCAGAGACAAATGCGGCGCGTCCTGGCTCTGTCGGCGAGGTGCCGCGACCGGCGAGGAGACAGAACTTGAACGTTCCCCAGGACCTAGCTCATTGCCCCAAGGTTGTGAGGACTCGGCACCTCCACCAAAAAACTGCTTCAGACTGGTTATGCTGGGGTAAGTCATACTTCTCATTACATTATACTATTTCATGTTCAAATTAGGAGTCTCTGAAAAATAGTAACCGTCAAATTAGGATCAAAATTGAAATAAAAAGTAAATCTCAATAAAAAAATTTAAACCTTCCAAATATTAGTAAATACCTGGTCGTGCGATTGCTCTTGTTACAGCAATAAATTAACAGGGTATCCGGGATAATCTGTTTCGGAACTGAAACAGAAATTCTCTCTCGCCGCCTCGACAAGCCTTATTTGTAATTTAAATGCCCTCTTCATTTCATTCATGCTCATTGTACGTAATAAGTCATTTTGATTCGAATAGTACAGCACTTGCCACATTAGAGACGTTAAATGGTCAGCTAAAAAGTCACTTGAAAAAAATATTTTCTGCACCGAAAGCCGATATTTATTAATCTAACTTCTTACTATTAATATAAATGCGAAATTTTGGGTGAATGATTAATTGTTAGAGTCTGTAGCCTAAACAGCTAAATGGATCTAGATGAAATTTGGCATAGATGTAGAGCATAGTCCGGAAGAAGACATAGGCTACTTACTTTTGTTTTTTTTTTATTCCACGCCTATGCGGTCTTGTGTGGAAGCTAGTTGATAAATAACTTACACTAAATCTTATTGTACTCTAAAGGACGCCCTTTATCGTATTTAGTGTCTTGCTTTTATTAATAAGTTGGCCTTAATCTGAGGAGGAAACCCTAAAAGATTAAATTTCCGTGAACTTCGAGAGAACTGAGGTTGAAGATTCTAGAATCTCTCGAAGTAATCAGATCATTTTGTTTTTGATCAAATTACCTGTTGCTAGTTGTTGAAAGAGGTACAAATAAACATGCGTAATGTTGAAGGAATACAGCTGTTGATTGACAGTTTAAGAATGTTTCTTGTAATCAGTCTTCGTTAGGGAGAGGCAAGTGCTACTTCGAATAAGGCCATATAAATTATTGCTGCCATCTTCAACCTATCCTCGGTCATTGACTGGTGATGCTCTTGTTCGTAATAATTCCAAATAGGCTAGAAGAATTGTGCAATAACAATATTCGATGTCACAAAAACTGTTGTGAAACGGAATTGAGCAAAGTAAATAGTCGAAAATTTAAATTTAGTCGGCGAGACTGGCCTTATAGTGGACGTGATAAACCGGAGGGCATATTTCAAAAAACAATATCGGACAGATAACAAAGTTAGAAGGGAATTCGAGCTACAGAAGCGGCGCGTTTTAATCGCGATACTTCGTTACTATCTGACTAATTGGTGTTGCCATGGAAACGTGCTAACGTGCGCGTACACCGAAACAATTACATTAATATTGAATTATACAAGGCCCAGTAGATCTTCTATTTTTTATGAATCTATTCAACTAAAAAAATCAACTAAATTAAGTGGACAGTGCTTTTAAAACAGAACACACATACTTCGATTTAATTTATTGTAGATCTGTCCCAACATTGGCTGATAGAGGCTCAGATAGTTTAAAAACGACGACACTGTCAGATAAGGGAACGAAATCCGATATTTCCATCTCATATTTTACACGTTAGATTGTTATCACACAATTTACAATTTGGTGGGACAGGCCCTTAACCTTATAAAAATAAAAGAAAAGTACCAATAATTTTTAAGTGAAAATGAAAGACAATTTTATTCAACAGCTCCGCTCGAGTGGGTAAAACATCTTTAGTGTCAAGATTCCTGGGTACAAAGTTCGAAGACAGCTACACTCCGACTATCGAGGACTTCCATCGCAAGCTGTACAGGATCCGAGGCGAGGTGTACCAGCTAGATCTTCTAGATACGTCGGGAAACCATCCATTCCCCGCTATGAGACGACTTTCATTTCTCACTGGTATGTCTACATCAAATAATTCACGCTGATTTATGAATACTAGTAATACACGTTATAATCTAACATTACTTATAGTGAAAACTAGCTGTTGCCCGCGACTTCGTTCACGCAATAATAAGACAATAAAGTAGCCTATAACTTTCCTGACTATTTCAGCTACTCTTCCGTTAAAATCCGATCGAAATCGGCTCTGCCGTTTCGGAGATTACCCGGAACAAACTTGGCTATCCGACAGACAGACTAAAAAAATTAAATTTTTTCGTTATCAGCAATGAAAATACATCATCTAGAAGGGTCTATGAATAACTAAGGATGATCTAAGGAGATCATCCTTAGTTATTCATTTCATTCATTACTTTGAACAACAAATCTATAGTTACCTACTATTTAAATTATTCATAGATTCAAATATAAGAATAAAATTAATAAATGCCATTTTTAAATTAACTATTTTAAAAGTCAGAATAAATATATCAAAGTTTAAATTCAGCAGCACTCGACTCAAGTTGTCAAGAATCGAGCAAATGTTTGAGATAACTTTGAGCGAAGGTTCGTTATTAAATTTTCCAATATAAATCCGTAATCGACAGAGCGAACGAAAGCGGTTTTAGAGAAAACTTTACACTATAAAATGTTATATGATATTTGAAACATTAAATACAGTGGTAAAAATCATACAAATCCAATCTCACTAGATAAACCTTCTAAATTAATTCACCGACGTTCATATACTATGTACACCAGCAATCCCCGTGTAATCATCTATAATGTATATTAAAATCTGTATGAAATGTAAAATGTGATCCAGTCTCGAAATCTCTTCTATTTTCTCTGTAAAACGAAATATTTGTAGTAGCTTATGATATAGAAAATTCTCCTCAAAAGACAGTCGAACGTTTCCTCAAATATTCCGACTTCCCAGGGGACCTCTTCGTGTTGGTTTTCGCGATGGACAGCCGGGAGTCGTTCGAAGAGGTGATCCGCCTGCGAGAGCAAATCCTGGACACGAAGGCGAGTGCCACAAGCGGCGGTCGCGGGCGTAAGCAAGCTCCGCGTGTACCTATGGCCATCGCTGGCAATAAATGCGACAGAGATCTTAAGTAAGCTTACACGAGACAGTATAATTTTCCATGAATTAATTTTCTTTATAGGATTTATTGTAATTAATAATACTAATAATGCCTTTTTTACAGGACTGTCCAACCTGAAGAAGCCACCGCGTACTGCGCGACGCAAGACTCTGCCTGCGTGTTTGTCGAAACGTCGGCAAAGAAGAACTATCACGTCGACGATCTCTTCTACGAGTTATTTGTGGTCGCTAATCTTCCATTAGAAATGGCTCCGAACCATCATAAAAGGGTGAGCACCGCGTTCGGGAGTCCGTGCACTTTACCTCCGACAAGCAGCCAAAGTAGTAGAAGTAAGAAATGTACTCTATCTATAAAAAGACGATTATCGGACGCGTGTGGCGTCGTTGCTCCGAATGTTCGTCGGCCGAGCATCCGGACTGATCTAATGATAATGAGAACGAAGACTTGTGCTAAGGGGGACGGAGACAGTGGAAGTGGCAGCCCTAAACTCAATCTGAACAGACTGGTCAGGACAAGCGGACAGAATGACAAAAGGAGTTGCTGTATACAGTGATGCTTCAAGTTAGGCTGACATTGGCTAAGAATTGTTCAATTTATAACTTTAAACTGTCGTGGTTTTTACAAAAGTAATGTTCGTAAGATACGGGTTTCCTACCACGATTGAATTGTTTTTGCTCCCGATATTTCGGCACAGTTGCATGCGCCATGTTTCAATCGTAGTAAGAAATCCGTATCTTACGAACATTACAATTGTTCAATTTGGTATGTTATATGGCGATTTTTGGATCGGTGCTATGGAAACATATTTCATAGAACCGAAAGAAATGTGAAATACGTTTATAGCAAAATTTTTATTTATTACCTTGTGGGTTTTTATTATCAAAACCTTTAGACAATTTACAAAAATGTATTGTAACGTCAATCTACTTATGATTCAATGATATTTAACAAAACATTGTTCAAAAAATACAATCGTTTCGTAAATATCAACTTGCAGTAAAACTTATTCTCTTTGTATTTAATATATTCCTTAATATTTTCGTATGTAAATATTATAAATGCCATAAGTTATTTTGATTTAATCGTCTTCATTCCTATATTTTTCAAAGAGATTTTTTTATCGAGAAACATCGTTTGACACTCAACCATTACGCCATGGACTGAATTTAGAATGTCGATGTTAAAAAAAAGATGATGTTAAAATACGTTTAAGATATAAGAAATTAAAAATGTATAACTTAAAGTGGCTCTTAATGTTTTGCTGAAAGCGAATGTTACGAAATGCATTACTGTATAAAGCTTGGAAACTGTAAATTACTTATTATTTTACTCTCGTGAAACTAAACTTGGAGATAAAATTGTTTCGATGCCCCTGCATTGCGACGCCCACATATCTTAGAAGTCACCTCCTAATAAATTTGTTAATCTTTTATTTTATAATAAAAATAAATTTCAGATTTGATGGGACCAAGTATAATATCAAAATTCCTTTTTCATAGGTCAAAAATAAACAAAAACTTTGAAGTATTTAAAAGTAAGTTATGATTAAAAAATACTAAGCTGCTGTTTTACTTCAATATATTTAATCGAAAATGACTTATTATGTGCCATAATGCTTTTATATATCTCTGTATCGTTTATGTAGCAATCTTCATCAAAATATGTCAACATTTTATATACTATTCTTTACATAAGGTGTAAAACATAAATAAATTAACTCTTTACTATTTCTTCAAATAAATAATTACGTTGCAAATTGCGTTTTAATTCATATTTTCAGTAGATACTTCAGAAACAGCTGCAACTAATAATCGCATAAAGGCAGTTTTAATCCGTTTTTTCTTATTTATCCGAATTTTGCCTAAAACGTGTTACCTGAGGTACAGTCTTTCGCTTTAACTCACCATAGTTCTTTTATTAGAATGATACTAGGTGCAGTAAAAAACGGAAAAAACCTTTAATCGCATATACATATTTACATTTTTAATTATGCCAAATATTATGTAATGTACAATCCTTAAAATAACAATATTTTTTTAAAATAATCTTTTAATCTGACTCTTTCTTCAGGTTTTTTAATAATAAATTAATTAATCGTTTTTGTATGCGTCTCGAATCATTTATATTGTTTATACTTCGCCTTATTTCTGAATCATTTGTTTTTATTTCATCAATCAGCAACATGGCTTTAATTTTAAACAATCTTACTTGTTCATCTGTCATAGTTTCTAATTCTGGTAGTAAACTTAGCAAGAAGAAGCGTAAAGCACTTCCTTTCATCTTGTTTGAATTTGTTGTGATTATTTGTGATTTTTTATTTTTCTTTTCTGTTTTGTTTAGAATTGGAGTGAAGTGTCTACGTCGTCTAGAGGCTGGAGGCTTTTCTCGCGGGATAATACATTCAGGGATCACAGATTCGTCGACAATGATTGGTATTTCTTTAGTAACATTCTCATCTTCCGATTGTGTTTCAAGTATTTCCTCTGGTTCCAATTTAATTATTACGTCACTCGTGTTATTATTCTTAAATTCATTTAATTCATCTATATATTCTAAATTATTAATCGATTTCATAAATGGTAATATGAATTGTAGGTAACTGGTTAAATAATAAGGTTTTTTATATCTCGTGGTTGGTTTCAAACTTCTTAGAAACGAACAACGGATATTCCGCCATTTTTCTTTGCAGTCACTTACTGAAAAAAAAAACCGTCATAATGTAAAACATTTTGCTACCGTTAAGAAAATGCAATCTCATGTTGAGATAAACAATATTTTGATTTAATATATCACGCTATTATTATCAACACATCATTCTAATCAGTAATTAAAAAATAAATTTATTTTTCGCTATAGCACGTTACACTTTAGGCAGATAATAACTACAAAATATTTAACAGAATTAATTCTACTCTAAAAATGTGTTATAAGCTTTATCAGTAACACGATAGAGACAGTTATGCGTTAAATACGTACTTGTCAAGTTGTTATTGTGTGCAACTTGCCCCCATGCGTCTTCAGTGAGATCTTTGCGGTTGTATTCTGGCAAATAACTATTGTAGAGACACGGATGTTTCTCTATTTCCTGGACTAGAGCAATTTCGGCTGACATTGTGTATAGGACCATAACACGGAACTTGCGTTGTTTTTACGCCGCATGCGAGGCGGTAGACGTGAGCGTTATTTCACGTCACTAGTTACAATCACCTGTGACGAGATATGTAACGGCGTCACTAGCTTCGAGTCAAATTAAAAGTAGTGATTTTTGTAAATGCGTTACTCGGGCGTGTTCGGCTCCGAAGTCGTGATTTTTGTAAATGCGTTACTCGGGCGTGTTCCGTTTTGAAGTCGTGACGAGATTTATATAATGTGTTGCTCGAGAGAGCTCGGTGTCGAATTAGTGATTTTTGTAAATGTAATACTCAGGCGTGTTCGAGTCCGAAGTCGTGATTTTTGTAAATGCGTTATTCGGGTGAGGTCGGTCGGTCAATAGGGAATATTTCTTCTATATGTTTCTACTTGTTATGAGGTAGCCAGAAAAAAATATTGACTGGAAAAAAATCAACAATTGAGCTAATAAAAAATAAATAAAATTGCGATCATTTTCATGCGACTAAAACGCGTTTTTTAGTAAGATAGTCTTATAGTTAGTAATCGTACGAACATAATCAAAAATGAAAATAAGCATGGCATCGGACAGAAAGTTTAATTATTGAAAAAGGCAATACAAATGACAATTGAAATTATTTTACATCTATTACAGAGGATTTATTTTAATAGGCTATTATTTTTGCAATGGAAATAACTAGTTACAAAAATCACTAGTTTTGAAACATGTGACGCCGAACAAATCACTAGTTTCGTTACGTTTCTCGAAAATGACGTAACGACTCACGCCTACGAGGCGGTTACTGACTGGAGAATGTTGGAATCGTGTCGCGTCGCGCTCTCCCCGCGCCGCGTCTACCCCGCGCCTGCCCCGCGCCAGCCCCGCATACTCCTCGTACATCAGGTCCGGCTCCACGAAGTCGCGTCGCGCCGTACCTGCTGCGCCCTAGCGCCGCATCCTCCTCGCACTGTTGTTTTAACCGACACTTTTTTCAACTTGTTATTTTTTTGACCGAACAAATGTTGATAACATTTTCTATCCTATTACCACATCATCCTGGTCTTCTCTCTTTACAGGGTTGACTTAGTATGTACATTCTCCATACATGTTATTACAATCATCCGTTTTATGTGAATTCACTCCATACATAACCTCATACAATCCATACTTCATACTTCAGGTTATCACCATGTAATATGTGATAATTATGAATCAAAATTACACTATACTTTTACAAACAAAACATTTTTTTTAACAAACAATAACAATGGCAAATGGCAACATAAAACACAGGAGAAGCGAGCGCCGGCCGTTGCTTTGGCTAGCGGCTTTAATTGCGGGGAATCGCGTCCGATCTAATTTTCTGTCTCGGATTGAGGTCGAGGGTTTCAGCTTGTGGTTTAATGACAACAGTATTTGCAAACATTCCCTGATTTACGGACCCTTGAAACACAAATGTAATTTTTATAGATGTACAAGTCCGAAACTCTTATAGAGGTTACTAGATAAAGCTATTAAACTTAAAACATTTCAGAATAAATAACTAATTTTAAAATCCTAAATGTCTTTCTTGTTAGGAACGGCGGATGTCGAGAGTTTGACAAAATACATTTATATATTTTGTCAAGCTCTTGACTTGACCACGACTATGTGACTCCCCCTGACTCCAAAGCTGAATCCGCCCTAGCTTGTAATTGAAATGCGTCACACCAGGAGAATCATTTATTCCCATCTAGCCAGTGGTAGCCAGAGCATAGATCGTAAAACTTATAAATTAGACGAGTGTAGAATCCCGATAGGAGCCGTTTAATAAATCGCTCCATTGGGCAGAATTATCTCGGTTTCGGATATTATAGTGCAGAATTTAACCGTAAAGGACATAAGTTACAAGCTTTCGCTCGCGACTCTATTCGAGTGGAATTTAATAAAAAAACAAAAGTGGCTTATGTGTTCTTCCAAACCAATCTCTATATTTATGCCCAATTTTATCGAGATCCGTTCAGCCATTTAGGCTACAAACTCTAACAAACGTCGACCCATCCATCTAAACTTTTGCATTTGTAATATTAGTTAGTTGGGTTATAGGTTAGATAACGATTTCATAAATATTATTAAACAATGACTGGAATTAATTTAATATGTGACTACTCATTAATGATAATAGATGGCGCTGTAGTACTAATTTAACCAATACATATCGTCTTCCAATACAAAAACGTTTTGACAAGATTTTAACAAAATCTTAGAAATTTATGGCTCTTTTGTCTATTATATTATCTTACTTTTGTGTCGTGTACATAATACGAGTAGCTACTGATATGCCGTTCTGAAATGCCAGAAGTCACGTATATTTACGGGTGCGGAAAAATTTATATTCGTGTGGCGCGTTTAGGGTTAATGTCCCAGGGGGTATTACAGGCATGTCAAGTATTGTACAAATGAATATTAAAATGGTACTTTTTATCGTTTAATTTAATATTTTAATACTGTAGACCTAACATACTATACGTGGTAGTGCCCGCTTTAACATCTTAGCACTGCAGGGCCGGCACGCCTGGTGTAATACCACGACCGCACAGAAGACATGCGTGGAATGGAAGCTATTCCATGTTTCGTCTGATGAGTGTGGTGCCGGAGGCCTAATTTAAGTCCCTTTCTCTTTACCACCCCTTTCTTATAAGGAGAGGATGGGAAGGGGAAGTGTCCTCTTTATGTGCGTCTTCTCCTCCGTCGGATAAGGGTAGGCAACGCATCTGCTATTGCGGATGTCTATGGGCAGCGGTCGCTTCGCCATTTTGGCGGATTTTTTGTTAGTTTGCCACCTTTTGTTATATAAAAAAAAAGTTCTGTTAACTGTGTGTTCTGTCTATAACGCATAGGTTAAACCATCCATTAAAAGTAATAAAGTCTATTGTCTAAATGTGTTTCTGAACTACATAACATGAGTTTTACTCGTTTGAAACTTAGCTTGCTAGTGAATCACTAGGTTGTGATAAAGTGAATGGAAATTTCAGCAACCCAGTATAAGTAATATTAGTTTTAAAGTAATTTAGGAACATTAAGTAAGATCCAAGTGTTTTTATTTGTGTTTTTTTTATATTTCTCCATAGATTTAGATTTAGATTAAGTTTTATAGTGTAACATTAAGTAACTACATGTTTTTTTTTCTTCTTCTACTATTTTGTAAAACTGCGTGTTCTGTTTTTAAGAATCATTGAAAACCGGCGCTTCGGTGTACACCGAGCACATGCCGAATGAATTCCTTCTCATTTTTTGAATAAGCTGATTTCTTTCTTATTTCTTTCTTCTTTCTTTCTTCTGTCTATTGCTTATTACCGACTAATGAGACTTATTTGGTACAGCGCCATCTATTGTGCTCAAGAATTGCCCAAATTTCCAGATGTGTAGAACTTTCTATATTTTTTTAAAATTCATTAAAAAGTAAACAAAGCCGCTGAAAAGAGTAAGTTTTGTAATAAGTATCAGCAAAAGTGATATATTCGTAGGTAAGTGACTTGCTCGGTTAGTAAGTAATAAACGCCTCAAGGGTAAACAACCCTTTTAATATTATAGTAGATAACTCTGGCTAAAGTACGTTATTTTCTCCTCAATCATAATATATGTAAATATACAAAAGTGGTAGCGTATTTTTTGTATATTTTTATTTAATACCGACTTCAAATCAAATTATATGTTCGAAAATCCTTACTTTCTTCAATCGACCGCTTTCAAGTCAAAGTATAACACTTGAATGATCAAGAGAATTTCACATCGAGGGAAACCACTTAAGAAATAGAATTATATCACTGTCGGTACAGGAGTACTGTATGGAAGTATTGAATCAACCTCAAATTAACTCGACTGATTTATAGAAGTAATATGGGTTTATTGATAAATATCTTATTAGGTAAATGTTCTTTCTTACTTTTGATGGTTAATTAGTTACAACTGCACTTTTATTTACCACTAGCTGTTCCCGTGCAACTTCATTCGCATGAAATTATAAAAAAATTATATTATTGTTTCCATTTGTCAAATTATCAATTACAGATGTTAAAATGACATGACCTAATGACAACCTTGCTTCCTTGATGTTGGCAGCAACTAATTGTCTCTTTCTCACATTAGGGTTTTTATCCAAAATATTAACTGCCTAATTTTGATGGCGTTAAAATAAATAGCCTAGTGCGTGATGGAAGTGTCGGGCTTTTTATTAAAAGAATAATTATTCAAAAATATACTGTAATTGCTGACATCTTAGGCAACAAAGAAGTGTGTGTTTGCGCTTATTATAATAGTATAGATATAGATATCTTAGCATTTTACAACACAAACACACAAAAGTACTTCAGAGATTTTGTTCCATTATGTGAAAAGTCTTCCCCTAAAAGAAACATTTTGCAACAAAAAACTGATGGATTTTTGCATAACCTTTTATAATCTTACTAGCTTGCGCCCACGTCTCGTCCTGGGGAATGACAAAAAAACATAAATAAGTAACCTATGTGTTCTTCCAGACTATCCTCTACATCTATACCAAATTTAATCGACATCCGTTCAGCCGTTGAAGCCACAAACTCTAACAAACATCCATCCATCTAAACTTTCGCATTTATAATATTAAATAAGATTTTAATAACAATATTAGGTTTTCGTTTTTCAGATGCCAAGGAATTTTATTCTGTAAAAATCAAATTTCTTTCCGAAGAAAATCACCACGCAACCCAATAGTGTTCTTAACTTAAGCTCTATTGGTTTAAGTGTCGAATGGAGCTTGTGTGTCAACAATGACCTACTGGATTTGTTTGCATAGGCTCACCCTCCCCCGCCCCGACCCGCCGCCCTAGCTGTCACTTCACAGAGAGACCACGACAGGTTCACAAACACTATTGAAATTTGCAATTCCGTGACGTAACCTGCTGTTAGAATCTGTTATTAGCATAGCTCACATTTATTGAAATGTTAAACACATTATATAGTTCTATCAAAGCTTGGCATTGCTGTGGTTAGTATTCGATTTAGTCAACGAGAAACTGTGGTAAAACATCGACAGA